TTTCTTATTCAACCCTTTTTTGGTGAGGAACATCCCTGTACTTATTTCAGGTTTGGTACCGATACGAACACGGTTTCTAGTGCAGAGTGCACATGTGGGATGGTTATGGGGCTGCCTGCCGCTAAGGCACTAAGGTCTTAGGGCGCTATTGCTATGGCGCTAAGTTGTAAACTCTATTTGTTTAATTAATTAATCCCAGTTAATTAATTAGCATTGCGGCAAGAGGTTCGGATGGGTTAGGTACCTGTGTGCATTACGCAAAACTCGTTATACCTACTTCAATTCGTTGAGAACATCAAAGCTATATATTTGTTTCAGAAAAGCCCTTGCTCTCCTTGTGCTATTAATCTCTTTAAAACAAAACCAATTTGCTCTAAACGCATGCGCAGATTAGTTAGCGTTCGTGTCGACTATACACAAGGTGGAAGATACATTTCCTGCGGGATCGCACACAAACGTTAAGTGCTTTTCCTTGTGGTAGAACCCAACATGTAAGACGCATGCGTCCATGCATCGCTAGGGTTACCCACTCCGTTTTCATCCCCAGAGCCACGCGATTTTTGCCATGTAATGTGACTGTGGACGACAGTTCTTTTTCTGGTAGCGCCACTTATCCCTTTTAGTGAAAAAAAAAAAAAACGCTACTGTGACAAGTGTCTTTTGTGCTGTGATAGATTGTCCAGGTTAAACATATTTTTCTTGTTTTGTATGGGTTAGCTTGAATTTATTTCAATTACTGGACTAATAGCGGAGTTCCTGCGCGCCGAAGGCGCGCCAGCGGAGCATCCATTCCTTAGAAATTTTGGTAACCTATCCAGCCGAGTAAATTTGGTTATGACGCCACCGTACGAGCGATGTCCGTCCGTCCGTCCGTACAGACTCTGGGGAAGGGGGAGGGGAGTCTCAAGGTAACCCGAACGGGAGAACTAAAGAATGCCATCTTTTCTTGCCAGGAGGAAAACTCATTGCTGTATTGTTATGTCAACAAACGATAGCGGAGTTGATAATGCAATGTTTTCAAGAGATGGTTTAACTGGGGCAGAACGTGAAAGAAAATAATCGGATGTAAGAATTACTAATAACAGGAAAAGATCGCGAAAGAGAGCAGCCGCGGCGAAGTCTAGAGCAAGGAGACGAAACAGTACTGAACAATGCAGTTAATTAGAGCTGATTAGAGCGAGCCAGGGTTGAGAGAAAGGAGATGAAACAATACCGAGCAATGCCATGGAGCAGAGCTAGCGAGAGCTTGAGAAAGAAGGCGAAATAGCCGACAAATCGTCTCAGAAATCGTCTCAGAAGACTACAGAACTTTTTAAGCTAATTCGCGCGTCGAGATGTGCAGCCGTGCAAGGAAAGTCGCATATTGTTTACTGTGTTTAGAGAAATTACAGAACGCTAAATACAGCAGAAAAGATGGTTGATTCGTTGATCTATCGAAAAGGTTAGTTCAGTTCAGTCTTCACTACATTTTGCTGCAAGTTTCTGCCTGGAAGACTTAGCCAGTGGCCGAAC